AAATTATAAATATATTTTACTTCTCTAGAGCCCATTTTCTCTCTCTTATGGCAACCTAAGTACATTTTCTAAGCCGCCGCTGCCGACGACGACGTCGTCTTTATGTGAACAGCCAATATCCCCTGCTCGCAATGAGAGGTATTTTCTAGGATGTTATGTGTGTGCCATACTGAAAAGGATTGTTGGATTAATAACATTTGGTAATTAAGAAAAGTTAATAAAAAATAGTTTTACTTTATTATTTACAAAATGTATTTATTTTACACTCTCGGCAACTTCCTCCTCTTATCTGCATCACAGTTTTTTATTACTTACAAGTAAATTCGGTAAAAATTAATAATATCACATTCTTGGTATATTATAATTGTGAGATCCTTCGGTTTCATTATATCAATCCTAAACAGCATAAAACATTTTAGAAATGTATGAGGAAAATGTGTACATATATGAAGTCTCGCAATGTTGTACATAATACATGAATTTTGCAATCAATTAATATGTTGATAAACAAAAAATGTATTAGTCTTACAATTTTCTGTCAATTACTGATTGATTTCTTTTGCCTAGTTATACTGTTCAGGATCAAGAAAAGCTAAAGTCTAGAAATATTGATAAAATTATTATCACAATGCGAATGTCTTACAATGTACTTATATATTTCTTACAAATTTATAAAAAGTTTAAAAATATTTCTGAATGTAAAAATTTTTTTGTTTTCTGTAAGAGTATTTTGTACTTTAAATATATATCTACTACTAGACAAGCTCCAAGTAAGTCAAAGTGCTTTGGTTTCAATACCATATACAAACTAAATTGATGACTGGTAGACTTACAAAGAACCAAAATATGCGAGGATAAATCCTGAGGTAAGGTCTGCATCTGTATTATAGCAACTTTTTTTTCTCTTTCTCTATCCTTTTCCTTCCCTTTTCTTTTTATCCCTCTTTTTCTGTCCATCTGCATCCATTGCCATCTCAATCGATGACACTGTAAGTAAAAAACAGGCAGATATATACTAGAGTAAGTATCAGACTGCAAAAATTGCCGCAATGCTGCCTAAGCACTGTTCAGATTTCTTTAAAAACTCTCATAGTCTTCTTGCTGCTGGTTCTAGAAAAATTTCTTCTTTTTCCTTAGAAGGCTTCAGAGGTTCTCAATGTAATGTGTGGTATGTATTGTGGATTTCCCAGGCCTACTCGTCAATAATAAAAGTAGATCCAAACATCTCCATTTGATCGCAACGATTTCGCCAAGCTTCAGGCAAGATATGTCGTTGCTGTTAACATTTGAATAGATTTTCCAAATCTTAGCATATGAGCAAAACTCTCCAGTGTTTCTTTGAGTAAGAGAAGAAACAAAAGATTGGTTAATCATATATAATCATAGATTTTCCTAATCTTGGCATATGAGCAAAACTCTCCAGTGTTTCTTTGAGTAAGAGAAGAAACAAAAGATTGGTTAATCATATATAATCATAGATTTTCCTAATCTTGGCATATGAGCAAAACTCTCCAGTGTTTCTTTGAGTAAGAGAAGAAACAAAAGATTGGTTAATCATATATAATCATAGATTTTCCTAATCTTGGCATATGAGCAAAACTCTCCAGTGTTTCTTTGAGTAAGAGAAGAAACAAAAGATTGGTTAATCATATATAATCATAGATTTTCCTAATCTTGGCATATGAGCAAAACTCTCCAGTGTTTCTTTGAGTAAGAGAAGAAACAAAAGATTGGTTAATCATATATAATCATAGATTTTCCTAATCTTGGCATATGAGCAAAACTCTCCAGTGTTTCTTTGAGTAAGAGAAGAAACAAAAGATTGGTTAATCATATATAATCATAGATTTTCCTAATCTTGGCATATGAGCAAAACTCTCCAGTGTTTCTTTGAGTAAGAGAAGAAACAAAAGATTGGTTAATCATATATAATCATAGATTTTCCTAATCTTGGCATATGAGCAAAACTCTCCAGTGTTTCTTTGAGTAAGAGAAGAAACAAAAGATTGGTTAATCATATATAATCATAGATTTTCCTAATCTTGGCATATGAGCAAAACTCTCCAGTGTTTCTTTGAGTAAGAGAAGAAACAAAAGATTGGTTAATCATATATAATCATAGATTTTCCTAATCTTGGCATATGAGCAAAACTCTCCAGTGTTTCTTTGAGTAAGAGAAGAAACAAAAGATTGGTTAATCATATATAATCATAGATTTTCCTAATCTTGGCATATGAGCAAAACTCTCCAGTGTTTCTTTGAGTGAGAGAAGAAACAAGAGATCGATTAATCATGTTAGAAATTACAGCAATATGTACAAGTATTGGTAGGCCTCTCCGTTCCATATCCTATGATAAATCTGGATAAAAAAATTCTTCTTCTTTGTTCCTTAGATTCCACAGACGTCTTGCTTCAGCGATGATTGGAAAAACCGTAAGTTTTTTTAATCTAGTCACTGCTACACAACTGACTCTACTTCGTCAAGTTGCTGTAGCAAGTTTCCCGTTAGTAATCATAGTGGTACGAGCAATTGCTGAAGGTGTCTCCGCTCCACATCCAATGACGAGCCTGGATCAAGAAATTGGTCTTTAAAAAAAAGATAGAGCTTCATTGCTCCATAGATTCCACAGATTTCTTGTTCACTTCAGCAATGCTCAAAGAAGCCATAAGCTTTTTGAATCTAGTCACCGCTGCACAATGGACTTTATCTGGCCTAATTGCTGTAGAAAGTTATCCAAGCTGTTAAGCTCGTCGCGCCAAGATTCCTGCGAAAGTTTATTCCTTTTTGAGACATTGTGCTGTTTTTCGACCTCTCGATGTTCAGCTGCATTGTACAAACCGCAACTCCCGTACTCCACATCCTTGAGAAGCCGTCCTCTTAATCGCCGCCAACGACTTACCCTCGATAACTGTTTAGCCCGATATTCGTATTCCGCATTGCGCAAGGCGTGAGTCAGCACGGCCTCCATTCGAAGATCACGCTTAAGAGTTTTGTGGCATTCCAGCTTCTTTCGACGCACGTTAACAATCCACTTGGCCAATTGCTCCATGTGACTCAGCTCGCTGAATTCATTTCTCCGAAGTCGATCTCGAGCATCTCCTCCCTTTATCGGCGCCATATTTTAATCCTTATTCTTCCACAACTAGCAACTATCCTAGTTGTCTGCCCGATTGTACAACTAAGTATTGATTAATTATCGAATGCACCAACCTGTATGCGACTCGTGCTTGTCGATAGTTAGTTTGCTTGAGGATTTCTTCGAATCGATCCTTCGCCAGTTAATTTTATCGTGCACGAGTGAGACGTGAGACGCCTTCCGTAGTTCCGTATCGTTCTAGAACGTCGCACGGAGTGTCCGGTCCAACAGGAACGTATGAACAATGATCATCGAGTGGGGGGATGTTATATATCCCGCAGCGTCCGTTAGAGTGTATCCTTGCGCGTTGATGCACGAAGTAGTTCCACCTTCACGCCGCAAAATTTGTTCAATTCCGCGGAATTTTGTGAATTAACGCAACGCGATTTATTAATTTAGAGCAATAAATACCTTGTGGAATCAATTTAGGCGCAAATTAGCGCTTGTAAGATAAAAATCAATTCAATTGAGAAAGTGGGCTACACGGCGTAGGAATCGTGATGTGGTCACAGCTACGTCCGACATACACTATATACTGCCAGCACAGGAAATCTATAGTTCACGTTACATATACTATAGATTTTCTGTACTCCATGTCTTCTACACCTCACAAAAGCTCGTATCAGACTATACATTGAAGATTAAAATCTGACCAATTAGGACAAAGAAATTTTAGCTCCTTTTGTTCCGATTTTTTAACAATCCCAATTGTTTATTTTCAATCTTTAATATGTAGCCTAATACGGTCATTATATTGATACTTACAAAAACAACATGATTAACATTTGATATTTTTGATTTTCTAATTTTATTTGTTAAAACATTCCTATCCCCTATATACACAAGAATTAATTTTGTCTTATTTCTTATCAAATTATATTTTTTTCCGATACTTTGGCATGCAACTTGAGACAAAAAAATTGAAAACAAATAGTGGCAAGAAATAGACATAAATAGTATAAATAAATTATATTTATTAGAAAATAAGGGGAATAAGGGGAATAAGGGGAATAAAGGGAAGGAAGAGAAGTCACGACTATAAAACAAAAATAATAATATAAAAATAATACTTAAATAAAAACAATGAGGCTTATTTATTAAAGTGTGTTGTTGATCAAAAAATATAATCTTTGCTATTATATTAATTTTGGAATGATAATTATTTTGAAGCGCTTATAAAATTAAATGATTTTTTAAACATTCTGTAAGAAAATATATAAATTATTAAATATGTTAAATGTAAAATACGATTAATTATTAGATGAATTTTTAAAAATATTTGAAATTTTAGATAAATATATATACTTACATTAAAAATACACACAAAACATGATTATTTTTAAGATCTTTAAAGTAAACTGTTTTTTCATTAAACAAAGATTCATAGAAATTTTTTCACATACTATGAGCTTCTCGAATATACATCATTTTTACAATATATACAGCATATATACACAAAAGCATAATCATTCTGAAAATAAGGGGAATAAGGGGAATAAGGGGAATAAAGGGAAGGAAGAGAAGTCACGACTATAAAACAAAAATAATAATATAAAAATAATACTTAAATAAAAACAATGAGGCTTATTTATTAAAGTGTGTTGTTGATCAAAAAATATAATCTTTGCTATTATATTAATTTTGGAATGATAATTATTTTGAAGCGCTTATAAAATTAAATGATTTTTTAAACATTCTGTAAGAAAATATATAAATTATTAAATATGTTAAATGTAAAATACGATTAATTATTAGATGAATTTTTAAAAATATTTGAAATTTTAGATAAATATATATACTTACATTAAAAACACACACAAAACATGATTATTTTTAAGATCTTTAAAGTAAACTGTTTTTTCATTAAACAAAGATTCATAGAAATTTTTTCACATACTATGAGCTTCTCGAATATACATCATTTTTACAATATATACAGCATATATACACAAAAGCATAATCATTCTGACGTTCCCTATAATTTTATATATATGTATATAAAATTTCTCTTATAAACTATCTTTTTTATAAACTAATGTTCAGGAAACATTTCTAAAAGTCTTTAAAACATATCTGCAAGATTAAAAATTTCAGACTCCTTGCGAGACATTCTCTAGATTTTTTAAAATTTCAGATTCCTTATGAGACGTTCTCTAGATGTTGTCTAAATTAGATTAGGATAGGTTTTAGACATCCAACTTGAAAGTTCTTAAGCAACAGTGCCGTCCTGCTTAAAGCTTTGAAAAGATTTCTGCATCCTAATAGGCTTACTGGGAGCGGTGAGCAGTTTGCTCCAGGTGCGGCAAGTCTTACTAGACCATACCCACATACCCGAAGTGACACCGATTACGAGAGATAAAAAAAGCCTTAAAAGAGTAATCTCGAGACCGGCGGCCCGATAGATCGGACCTGGAGTGCAGTTCTGAGCCGTGCGGCAATCCAGTGCGGCAAGCAGTGCCAGTTGCCGCCATCGTGGCTTCACCGAGGCCTCGTGCAAAACGCAGACGAGACCGCCCAATGCTGGTAATGCATATAACAATGCAAAGATACCTAGCCGTGTCATTAGACGTTCCAGTTTCGTTGCGCTGCGTCCGGCACAACGCACGGCTTTTCGCACGCGGATCAGGGCGCTGCCAGCGATACTACTAAATACACAGCCCAACAACAGCAACATAGCGTGCGGTAGCACTTCCAACCACAATGCCGACTCATCAGAAACCTGGCACAATCCAGTTAATTCATCCGCAACTACGTTGCGCGACAGCAAGCTTCCTATAAGAAAGATATGTAATCAAATATTTGCAGCAAAAATACAATATATCCAAAGATATAATTTCTAAACATTTAATAATAATAACATATATATAAATATAAATTCCCGCGCGTATCATTGTTGGTAGAAATACGAATAAATAATCCAATAAGTTTTAAGGAATAGCGTTAGAAACCTTAATTTTTTCAAAATTTACAGGTTATCAAGATGTTAAGAAAACTTATAGTCCAGAAAGAATAACACAAAATCAAAATAGGTACGTAGATACATTGCATAAAAAAAAGAAATCTCAGACTATGTAAAAATATTTACCTCCTGTGAGGAATATCGGAACAATCCACGCAGCTGCGTGAAGATAAGATGCAATATTGTGAAGAGCTTCGCTGCTCCACTCATTCTTGGCACTCAGAAGCCAGCAACCGCATAGGACTGCCCACCATGTGTTACTAGCTAGTCCTAGATAGTACCTGACTAACCACCAAATAGTACAGGGAATACTCTTCAAGGCATCGCGGATCTATTCATAAATAAACATGAAAAAAAAATATAACAGCAATAAAAATTGTATTGCATATTTATTTACTGGAAAGAGAAATCTATTTACTTACTGGAACATAACTTGGTCCATCAACCTGATTGGCACAGCTGATATTCTCAGCGCCAACCGCACCCCGAATGATATAAGCTACAGAAAGAAGATTATAGCAGAGTGCTAAGAAAACTATCGGTCTTTCGGGATAACGAAATCTGGATGGTTCGACCCAAAAAGTTAACAATGTAAAAAGCGTCGATAAAAAACATAACCACGCCCAACCGGTCATCCAACGCTCAGCGAATCTCTTATCTTCTGCGCGATAATATGCATCGATGCCGCAACGTGGTGCACAAAAAGTCTGAAATAGTCACGAAAAATTATTTTAAAAAATATATTTTTTTTATCATCTTCACTCTTATCTATTCATCTTTTCATCTAATCATAGCACTTATCCTACCGTTTCTATATTGGGTATCTGCACAAAATGAGGTGGACATTGATGTTGCTGCTGTTGTATTTGCGTGGAGGTCTGCAGTGGTTGTTCATGCATCGCTGGCCATTGTTGTTGAATAGTTGGCAATGCTGGTGATTTAATGTCATCTAATGTTTCGTCTGGTGGCTGCACGCACAATGTGTTTCCTATAATATAAGGATATTAGTTTTAGAGAGAGGAAAATATTATCAAAATTATATAACCAAATAATTAAATCTATATCCTATTTAACGAAAATATATTATTTTAAACATAATTATAAATTAAATATATAAAGTGTCAAAAACCTTTTTCCTTTTTTTTCTTAAAAAATGGTTTTTTTAAACATCCTATGTATAATAAGACCTCTATAATAAAGAAATAGCTAAAAACAATGTTAAGTGTAGAATATAAAGATTCAAAGCATTATGTGTGTATAAAAATGTTTTAAAAATAAAATTTCTAATCTCTTTTTTAAATTTATTATTTAAAATTGACAGACTAATTTGAATAATATTAAATTAAATGAATACTTGCCACGATCGAGGAAACGATCGCAATCTAACATGTGTGGCCACGGCAACGTGAGACTGGTTAAAGCCGGCTCGCAGTCCCTTCTTACGGAAAGACAGAGGGACTTGCACGCTGGTATCTGCATGGCCACATGCTCTGAGCAAACCGGGGCGAAGACGGCACATAAGAAAAGCCTAAGATGTCTCGAACAGTTGTAATGGACCAGTGGCATAAAGGCAGTCAGCTGTGAATACATGATATATTATTAGAACTAAGTTAACCACTTGATCGATTCATTTTAATTCAGATTCTCTTTATCAATTGCAGTTTTTAGTCAGGTAATTTGATTTAAAAAAAACATGAATTATGAGAATTGTAACATATCTTGACTTTATGAAATGTTTTATGTTTAAAATAAAAATCAAGAGAGAGGGAGAGACGCGGTATGTATCACATGTCACATGTCACGTGACAAGCCCGCGCACACGCGACTGTAATTAACAATAAATTCATATCATTATCTATTGCTTTTTCTCTCCATCCGAAATTTCTCTGTCAATGATACTTTCAACTAAAATATCTCAGAAACTAATGCAGTAATAAAAATCAAATGGCATTTTTGTTATAACTTGGCTAACTGCATCTGATTAAAAAAAAAAAAAGAATCTGATTTAAAAAAATTATTTAACAGTCATGCTTAACCATTTTTTATGTTTTAAATTTCTATTTATTTTATATATAAAAGTTCGAATACTTTCTTCTATATTTGACGCGTGTTTTTTAGAAAGATTTTTTTTAGGCACTCTTTCTTCCATCTTATAAACACGGGACAAATCTTACGACAGTGAGTGGGATGGATGGAAATAGAAGATAACGCATCTAACGAAGCGGAGAGGAGACTTGCTTCTATGAAATATAACGAGCGATGGGCATCGGGGGTAATTATCCCGCCCATTCTTCCCGCCTCGATCCTAATGAATCCTCGCACGTCTCGCTGCGGCCCACCAAAGCCGCTTTCTACCTCCTTCCCCCACTAGATTTGCCCATTACGAACACACAAGCCCGATGTTCTCCTCTTCCACGATGCGCCCCAAATTATAGCCTCATGAAATTACGTGGTAACCCGTAACGCCGAAGCCTCTTATTTCAGCCGTGTATCTCGTGCTTCTCTTCTCACCAATCAAGGATTGGACCAGCCAAGAACAGTTCAGAGAAAAGCCCTATCTGGAAATAACGCTCAATCGTTTTCACTTCTTTTCGCATATGAAAGATGTTTAATATACAAAAAAATGTATATGGTGAAAAAATTAGTTGATGTATATGTATAAACTATTTTAATCTTTACCGTGGCATTAAAAAAGTAAAAGTAAAAGAAATAATTAATCCTTTGCTTTACACAAATCTATATATATATATATATATATATATATATATATATATATATATATATATATATATATATATATATATATATATATATATATATATATATATATATATATATATATATATATATATATATATATATATATATATATATATATATATATATATATATATATATATATATATATATATATATATAGATATACAATATATATTTTTTTTATTAGTGTAATAACAAGATAAAACATACAGAAAAATTCAAACGAAAGTCTCAGATATTTCAATTGAAATTTACAAGTTTATTTTGAAATTGATTTGTTTCACATTTGTCGATTTCAATCTAAATTATGAAATAATTGTATGATGAGATAATCATACAGACATTTCAATATTACAAAAATGTAAAAATTTTTCCCTGATTCACGAATAAACTGTGAATAAACTCATCAAAATTATAATATTTGATACATATTTGTGTAATCATTTTGTTATAATTTTAGATTTTTTGCCTTATATATCTCGTGTCTGCAAAAACGAAAGAGCGATGCTGATTGCGTAGACCGGTTCGTTTATTATTTCTCATCCTTCTTTTTCGGGAATGACCAGAAAAAGACGGAGTAGGAAACAAGGTATATATCCCTTATATGGTCCCTTCAAAGAATTTTCAAAGCGGCCTGACGGACAATTCGCAGATAGAAGAAGAAACGAGAGAGAACAGACGGACGAACGGACGAAGCCCACTTATTTCTTATTGTAACTTACTTCCATTCGTTCTTTTTTCCCCGCTTTTGTCTTTACACCGTGCGCTCGTTCCGCCTTGATCGAGTCAGCGAGACTCTTTGTAAGACTTAATATTTATGCGTATCAACGTATAAATTCCCGGGACACAATGTCGAGCCAAAGGATACTTTTTGCGCGAAAATTTTTTTCGCGTTTTTGAAAATAAAAATAGAATTTTTCGTGACCATTTTAAAATGGAAATAATAAATTATATCACTGTTTTCAAAGAATTTATTTCCGAAAATAATAAACTCTTGAAATTTTTTGATTCTTAAGTGTTGCGATATTTCAAAATAGAAAAAAAAATTTTAATTTTTAATTGTGTAATAATGACTGTTTGAGAAAATAGACTCATGAAACTTCAGAGATTAAATAATTTAATTATGTAGAAATCAACTTTAAAAAATTCTTATAAGCACACACATACACAGAGTTAAAGAGATATATTCTTAAGTAAAAAGATTATTTGATTTGAATTATTAAATTCTTAAAAAAAAAGAAAATTAGAATTAAAATTCTATTAAAGTTTCTCTATCTAAAGTTGATTTTCAAAGTTTTAATAATTATCATTAGAATGTATTTTTAGAGATATCTTAAAGTTTATATTAGAGATATATTATTTGTATTTGATAAAATCTTTTAATTTTATTTACATAAATGTACATTATATAATATTTGCACTAAAAAATTTTCTAATTTAAAATTAAGAATTTTTCACATTCCCTCCTCGATTTATCATCATTATCCCCGGCTTCTCGAAAGAGCTCATCACATAAAAAGCACGTATCAAATCCGCATCCGCCAATGTTCTCATATACGCACGCACTCGCTTCCATGCGCACCACGCATACATGCACACAAGGAACGTAGCTGTTATAAAAATACGCAGTTTGCTCGTCAGAGCTATCTCGCTTCGGGCGGCTTCAAAGGAAGCCGCCTTAACGTTATTACGATAATAAAACTGCGAGCGAGCGAGAGTAAACCCCTTCTCCTCAGCTATAAATACCTTTCTTTCTCTCATGTATGAATGTATATATGTGTGTGTGTGTGTGTGTACGTGTATGTGTATACTAAACATGCGTTAGGCCTGGAGCATACGAATGATTTTTTCTCCGCGCGATTATTTCACCGTGACAATGAAAGACCCGAAAAGACCGAGTATCTTGTTATTATTAATTCGTCGTCGTTTTTTGTGATATGTAGCATGCTAATGTTTACATGCTCCGATCTTGTTATCATTTGTGCGGCAACACTCAAGTAGGAAAGTCGTGGTGCGAGATACTCCGTCGAATTCTCTTTTTAAACGCGATCGCGTTTATAGAATTATTGATCCTTACTGATAATAATTATTTCTCTAACAATGCTTAAAGAAAGATGCTTCTGACTAATGTATTTTTTTAAATCAAATCATTATATTTTTCAATAATTACTATTATTTTTGGCTCACAATAAATAGACTATAAATTAATTAGGAAATAATAAAATTAAAGTTCATCTTTAAAAAAGAAAATATCTCATTATTCTGACAACCACTCTATTTGCGGGAGTAAATTTTTCAGACTTTATTACATTTTTAAATTTTTTTCTTCTATCATCTTTTTTCTATCGTTAATCATAAGAAAGAAAGAGAGAGAAGAGGAAGAAAACGGGGAAAATAGAAAAAAAAGAGGGAAAAGAAGAAAAAAAAGGCAAGGGAAAAAAAGAGAAAAAAAGAAAGAAATAGCAGAGATAGAGAGAGAGAGGGGATTTCCTGCATAAATTGTTATTAAAAAAGAAGTAATTTTGATTTTTATTTAATATAAATTCGCAAATCGATCCTTTCAGAGTAAATCATTTTCTATTTCGATAAGTTATCTATCCGCGTCTATTAATCGTGTTTATGGCATGAAAGCAAAGGTGAAAAAACAAATATTTTCTAATCCTTTTAATACATTAACGAAGAGAAAATAAATAACAATATTTTAAGAATCAAAATTATAACATACCCCTCGTTCAGCTTGTCGTTGATCCTCATGACCCATAAAATTCGGCATCGCCGTCAAATTATAACGCAGTCCTCGACAAAAGGATACGCTGAGTTTTTCGCATTTTGGGCCGGTTCCAGCATGTCCGTGATTGATGCCCCATCCATGGACCAGACCCAATATCGCCGATAGGATAAACATCACAATGGGCAATATCATTTTTAATGTCGATGACATTCACATCTTATTAATAATAATGATACATTCATACACACACACACATAATATAAAATTTGTCCGCGGTATTTCGTACGATCAACACTCACGTGATAATAAGGATTCACATTCCCGCGTAACACAATACATCACCAAATACACTCACCCACATCGATGGTCGGCAGTCGACTGACTGACGGATACTGGATCTGGATACTGGATACTGGTACTGGCGGACTGGTGGGTAGTAATGTGGATGCATGCATTCGGGCGATTCTGCGCACGTTCGGCCGCGTTCTCCTGCTCCTTCCAGTTTTTGCCGTCACTGTGGGTCCTATTATCTCGAGGCCCAACTGTCGAGGATTATAGGACCGATCCCGCAAGCATAATTAGGAACAAAGAAACCGCCGGATGCTAGATTACCTCGATGATAAATTTTTGCCGCTTCTTTAGAAATGCGAATAAAAACTTCTTAAGCGTTTGCTTTTATTATATATATATATAATTTAAATATATTTTTTGCATATAAAATTACATTTAAAATTTTTTAAATAATATTATACTCTTCGAATCAAAAAGCATAACAGAGAGAGAAAAAAAGAGAGAAGAAAATATAATATGTATATAATATGTATTATATGTTATACAGAGTATTTCTGAAATTCGTGACTAAATATATACTATAGCAGAAAAATTAAATAGAAAAAAACAATTCAGTTTCCGAGATATTTTAGTTGAATTACTGAAAATATTTTCGAATTTTATATACCTCTTTTAACACTGTTCAATATACAATGTAAACGCAGCGTGTACATATTTTTCCCTTGCATCTCATGTTTGGGGTGTTTGATTAATATGAGTTATCTCGCTTCATAGGACTACGGTTGTAACAGTATAAGATATTTCCATTCTCACCTGAATTTCCATTAGGAAACTCTGGAAAATTCAGCAAATAAGATACAGATATTTCATGAAATATAAGCGAAACAGAAACGAAATTTGTTGATAATGCCAGCGAAAATAGCGACGTCCGAAAGCACGATGCAAGAAAAAAGAATAAGAAAAGAAGAAAATTGAAGGTACAATGAGGTGGCTTTTCAGATGATCATTTTAAGCCGTGAAGGGAAGATTTGATTTGCTTGGCGGGTCCGTCTGTCTTATCCTTGTGGTTCCCGCACCATCCATATAATAATATCTATAGCGACGCCCAACTTTTTAAAGATCTTGCAGTAGCTCTCGAGCATCGCTATCTTTCGTTCCTGGCTAGATTAGAAACACAATATAAAAATTATAGACGCAAAATAAAATAGGATTAAAAATAGAAAATGAGAAAGAAATTGCAAGGACCATCAATTTAAAAATATACACTTTAATTTTTCTATGTAAAAGTGCTATAGTGAAAAGATAAATAATTTTATTTATACATATATAATATATTTTTGCACGTTCTTATATCCCGATTTTATAGTATCATATACTTGAGTTGAGCATCGTGAAACATTGGGGTTGGCCACGTGTAACGAATCGATGACGAGCGAGACCGAGCGAGATCGACAGAAAAAACCGAATCCTTTTTGCCCTTGAGATTTCTCGTCCCGCGACGCGACGATTAATTTTTACATATAAACAATATTTAAAAATACAATGAAATTAAAATTTAATATTAAATTTTAGTCTAAGATACATATATATTAATTGATTGTCAAATCTACGTGTTTGGCACCTTTTTTCATCTTTGTTATTTTTCTAAAAAAAACATAATTTTTTAACGATAAATATTCTTCTGTGATGACAAACGTTTCTAAATTATTGATATTACGTGATTCTTACTCATTCGCCTATAGTATATTTAATAATAATTTTTATATTCAAAAACTTTTTTTTACTCTAAAATTTATATCATTAAAGGACCAAGAAATTTTTGATCCACAGATTTTAATCTTGATAGTAGCTAGGACGAAATTATGAAGCGATTTTTTGCTTGGCATGATGTAAGTATAAAGTATAATTTACTTGGTGTATCTTCAGGGATAGCCTAAGGGGCTACATTCTCTCTCACGTCTCGTTCGTGTAATGAAGGGTCTGCCATTTATGTATCTCAGAAGTGTGAAACCTGCGCGCTGCGCGGCCCTTTTACGCCACATGATTGCATACCAAATTTGCTGCAACATATATATAGTTCCAGATGTATGGGTGTGTGTGTTATTTAAAATATAAATTCTACCGTGCATTAATTGTGAATAAATTTGTATTAATTAAAAATATAAGCTATATTTAAAGAATAAAAATATATATTTCTAGAGAAAGTTGAAACGATATAAATTAAAAGCTCAAATTGAACTAAATTGAAACTACATTAATATAAAAATAAACTAAATTAATAACTTGAATTGATATTTGAAAAGTGTTGCGGAAAAGTTCCCATTAAAATGGAACATCGATCCGGTATATATAATATTTATAATTATTTCAATATTTTGTACTTGTGCATTTTGAAATGAGGATTTTTCTTTCCGAATAATTTTCTTGTCAATTATTAATTATTAATTATTAATTATTTTACCATCTCTAATTTCCGTTACTTCTTATTCTAGCTGATTCTAGTCACAATATGTTACTGAGAGGACGCTAGTGTACAGCGATCTTTTTCCAGTCATGCCATCTATTGCAAATTGAAATTTAACCAATCAGGACAAAAGAAACTAAAATTTCTTTGTCCTGATTGGTCAAATCAATCTTCAATGCGAGTTTCTCATCAGTGTTTATGAAGTTTATGATTGATACCGAATTCGCCACGCATGCGCGAAAAACCCGGCTGAAATTACATTACTCCCGGGAGTCCATTACAATTTACAATTACATCGTTCATCGTATTGCATCGTTACAAGGTTTGTTTTTTCAGATGAACTTTTTGCATTTCTTGTTTTTTCTTTCTTTTTTTGAACTTCTAAATATATGTCTATTTCATTTTATTCCAGTTTAGCTAAAAAGAACAAACCTATAGTCAACTGTGGTACTGCATCCAAGTGCATGTAGTAGTAGACGAAGTGCTCCAATCCAACGAAGATAAAAAAGAGAGAACATCTGTAAAACAATGGCAGAAGAAAAGAATGGCAGGTAAGGAATACTCATCGATGTTTATCAAGTGTTATATATATTCTACAATATAATCATGCATCTGTTATTATACATAATGTACCGATAAGTTGAGGTTATGTTTTCATTATTTTGATTTAATTGTTGACAAACAATTCAAGAACATAAAAATTCGAGAAATAAAAATTTTTTAATTCAAGAATTCGAAAAAGAAAGATTTGTGTGTAAAAATAAAAGTCTATTTTAAATATTGCCAATTCGACAAACTAAAAATCTAAGAATGCAAGAATATTAATAATTGATAGAAAATGAATATATTTAAAAAAAAACAACTGGAAAGTGAAATGTAAATAATAAAAATTAGATCTTAGAATTCAGATGAGGGGATTTAAAAAAATGTAAAGAATTTTAAATAAATGTATGTCTTTTAAAACTGAAGGAATAAAGTAATTATGAATAAAATAATTATATATAAATAATTCTGTAGAAAATTATTGTTATCGTAAATTATTATTTTAATTACACACACAATAAAATAATAATTAAAGATATATAATTTAGTCCAAGTGATAAGCTTGAGCCAATAGAAGCTGCTGAAGAAAAGATAAAACAAAAGTTCGATGATAAGAGCAAACACAAATCTAAGCAGGATGAACCAGCAGAAAGACTCGGTGGACAAAGCAATAACAATGAAAATGGAAATTGTTACTGGTAATTACTTGTAAATCTTATTAATGTTATATTTTTTTTTTTTTTTTTTTTTTAAATTGGATTTTATTGTGCCTTGGAACTGAAACGAAGAAATTTTGCGTTCATGATTTCAATCAATAGAGATATTTTACATCATAAAACTTTAGCTCGTCGCCTAAATAGTGAATATCGATACCTCGTGATAACAACGTTATCGTTGCCCGGATACCAACTGTATAGACTGATAACCGCAGTTTCTAAGGTAACCGGGTTAATAAATCGATAAGGCGCTAGAAGGGAGGAAAGAAATTCATTCTTCATTTAATCATGGAAGGGTACCATCGGAATGCGAAGAGAGAAACCAAAATTACGCAGGTATTATACGATATTAGATGCAACGAGAATAACTCGAACCCCGAGAAAAACGGATATTAGACGAAATGCGATGCGATGAAAATGAGAATAGAAGAATTCAAGAGAAACTAATTGCGAAGGTGGTTTCCGCGAGCGAGGGAGAATGAAAAAGTCTCGACAAAGTCATTAAGCGGCAATTGCACAATCTAGGAGCTGAGAGACCAGGCGCCGACCTGTAGAATCTTGTTTTCTAGGACAATTGCCATTCCCGCGCGTTTAGCCACAATCGTACATTTATCGAGGCAAGATCAAGAACGGCTACCCGGTATCGATAACATTCCAACGACAATGATAGTTTGCGTCGAGCGATGGTGATAACCGCGGATACGCATATGGTGTTTCGGAATCATTGCTCTTTTTATCTAAAATATCCTTTATCAGTTTGAAAGTGACGTAATCTTAATAAAAATTATTTTTTTTGTAACATGGTGATTTACTGTGGAACATTTTGCAGCAACAAGGAAAGAAAATTAAATATTGCAGAGCTACTTTGTGCTAGTTGTTCTCGTTGGTTTCATGAATCCTGTATTGGATATCAATTGGGCAAACTTGTGCCTTTTATGATGAATTATATATTTATGTGCAAGAACTGTTCACCGACTGGCTTAGAAAGCTTCAAGAAAAACCAGGCACGTGAGTGTTGAAAATTAATCATAGCATTAATGTATATAAAGATATTTCATTAATTGCTTAATTAATTAATCATACTGCTTCCATTTCTTCCAGCATTTCCACAGATGTGCATAACAGCAATCGCAAACTTGCTGCAGATATGTCAAAAGGAGAATGAGCAGAGGACTCTCTTTCATAAGGACAAAGATATCATACCATTTATTGATTGTCATTGGGAGAGCATGACTACAATGCCTCGCAGAGTCACCCAATCCTGGCATGCTACGGTATTTAATAAGCCTTTTTTGGTGCTGCAATTGTATTAGATTAGAACTTATGAGTAATATAAATATAATATAAATTTATATAATCTTTCATTTTTGATTCTATAATAACTATCTTATTTTGATAAACATTCGATTTTCTAGATCCACAGAGCATTGCTTAAAGACGTCGGAACATTATTTACGATGGACGAGAGTACGTCCGAAGGTCAGCTCTTTGGTCTGGCAAGCCCTGAACTCACATCAATTAAACCGAATTATGAAGCTATGATTAAGAATGGTCATTTGCGAGCGACAGAAATGGGCCTACAACATGTTGGTGTGTACCTAGCACTTTCTTCCTTATTCATTTTATATTAATTTAACTGTAACAAAGTTTTAATTTAAACTTAATTAATAATGTACTTTTTTAATAACACAAACTAAAAATTTATGGAAAAAGCTAGCACTTATCAAAATTTTTGCTAAAAACTGATGGAATATCTCTTCTCAAATTCAAGATAAAAGAATGTATGTAGAAAGTTTTAGAATTGTCTCATGTTTTAATTTATGAATATTTATATAGATTCTATTTCTTCTATGTTCTTTATGTAGTTATTTTTATATTTATATTATATTTTTATATTCTCTTTTTCTTATTTTTACACACACATACCTCAAATCTATGGACAAACGAATGCAGACAATGCATATAAATCAAATATTCATTCAAGATATATCAAAGCCTATCCTAGATTTTTCAAAACAATCAAATATACTAATTTGTTAAATTTTTATTTAAATTCTCGTTGTTTCCAAATCTTTCAGAGATAGTATTCCTCAAAGCAAGTTTTGATCAGATATATATAGATCTGTTATTCTTTATCTTATCACAGATGCAATCGTGCGCGCGCTATCGTCAATTCGCTATCAGAAAACTACTCAAGTTTAAATCATGACAGAGAAATTGAATAGATCTCTAATGAACTTTGCCCTAAGAGACTTAATTATAAAGCTGCAATGTTGTATTTGATATCATTATTCATATCATTTACATATCATTATCTACATATATATAAGGAATTTAGCATTGTAGCAATTAATCAGTCCGTTTAGAAAAAAAAATCAATTATCGATTAATTACTTACTTGTTTGCTTTATTGGATTTGAATGTATTGAAAAGAAGAAACGTGATTAAAGTTGAGAAGAGAGAATTAAGGACGATATTATATGTTGATATCAAAAGTGAAGTGATATTTTATTAAAATGGAATGTTTAGTGCCACTTAGTGGAGGATTGCGCGGTCGTAATGCTAAGCGGAAGTTCCCTGGCGAGGCCGCGGGTGCGGGTTCTGGAAAAAAGGGCAGAGGCTCTGACATGACTACTCCCAAACTGCCCGCTCATGGTTATCCACTCGAACACCCCTTTAATAAGGATGGCTATAGATATATCTTGGCAGAACCAGATCCTCATGCACCTTTCCGACAGGTAAGATGTACTTTATTTTTCTACTGACTAAGATACAAACAGTTCTTCTAATAATCTTTATGTAAGTTATGTGTACAAAGAGGAAATTATGATACAATTAAAGAAATAATAGAAAAGATAGAGATTAATATTTTTCGTCAGACAAAGTTTTTGAAAACTGATAAAGAAAAGTTGTAGGAAATATTTTAATATATCTTTGATATATCTTTACTTTCTTTTGATACATATTTACTTTCTGCTTTTTCTTATGTTAGAAATATGGACGTAATAAAGAATCAGAAGCTTTAACTTCTTTGGCTGTAATATGTATATACACATATGTATGTGTATGTGTGTCTAGCAAAAATTGAAAGTTCTATATAAGCAGTTTTTATATACTACTACAATTAAAGAATTAAAATTCTACTTAGATTATAATAATGTCTGTAAGCAATACTAAATTTTCCAAATATCTTAATTTATATTCAGGAATTTGACGAGAGTAGCGACTGGGCTGGTAAACCTATACCCGGATGGCTATACCGCGCTCTCAGCCCGAGTACTGTGTTGCTTGCATTACATGATCGCGCGCCACAACTCAAAGTCGCTGAAGATAGATTGGCAGTCACTGGGGAAAAAGGATATTGCATGATAAGAGCCACACACAGTGAGAATGCTATCAATTTATGAAGATACACGATAGCGTTGTGTCGAGTATATCTAATACAATCTTAGATACAATCTTACAAGGGAACAATTTTATAACATTTTTTATGATAGTCTTTCTTGAAAATAATTAATTATATATATTTTTAAATATAAATTTATACATCTCAAAGAGAGAAGGAGATTGAAATACTTGGATTTTCTGCATCTATATTGTTCAGATATAGCATCGTTCTCATGGTAGTTTTTTTTTTTTCATAAAATGCTTGTTTTTTGCTAACAATAAAATTTATTTCCAACCTTTTATTCTTCATTATACCATTTTTTGCATTTTGGTCTCATTCTATTTGTCTCTCCATTTCAAATATTTGTAAGATGTTTACTTTTGATTTGCGATAGCCTGTATAAATATTTTAATTATATTTACCAATCTCTTATAGGCGTAAGCAGAGGCACTTGGTATTGGGAAGCCACGATCGAGGAAATGCCGGAAGGATCCGCGACAAGACTTGGATGGGGACAAGAATACGCGAATTTGCAAGCTCCACTTGGCTATGATAAGTTCGGTTACTCATGGAGATCAAGGTATTATATATACTTATGATTGCTATATAGCATATTTAAAAAATTTTACTAAAAGATATGCTTTTCTTTTAATCATAATTCCATCTTTTTAAAATTTCAATAATTTTTCATGATACAATATTTGATAGGAAGGGCACGCGATTTCACGAAAGCCGCGGCAAACATTATAACAACGGTTACAGCGAGGGTGACACATTGGGTTTCCTCATAGTTCTTCCAAACACATATGATGCATCGCACATTCCAAATACTTATAAAGACAGAGTGAGCATATCATGTCAATAGAAAAAAATTAAAGTAGATTGAAATTGCTTGAATATTTCCAAAATATTAAACTGTTATGATATTTTCTCTCTCTCTTTTTATTAAAATTTTCTACAAATAATTTATAAATATAATTTTTTTATAGAAATACCTACAAATTGTTTACTTTTTATATTTTCTGATTTTTAAATTAGCCCTTAGTGAAATTCAAGAGTCACTTATATTACGAGGAGAAAGACCAAGTGCAGGAAGCTTTGAAGGCTCTGCGGCCTTTGGAAAGTAGCAAGATCATATACTACAAAAACGGAGTCAATCAAGGTGATGCTTTTGTGGATCTCAACAAAGGCGCCTATTATCCTGGAATTTCGATCTATAAAAGCGCAACGGTATCCGTGAATTTCGGTCCGAATTTCAAATGTCCTCCAACTAACATTACATTCAGAGGCGTAAGTATATTCACACCTTTTATATCCAATTTTATGATTGATGATATAAGTGAAAAAATCATTCAACTCACGATTGCAAACACTTTCCTGATAAAATAAAAACTGTATGGTATACATAATCTTAATATTTATGTAATTGTCTTTTACTAATTATTATTATTATTATTTATTTATTTATTTTTTTTTTTTCTAGTTATAAACCGTAATTTGGACATACTAAACAACAAAAGTTAATTACATTATGTTACACGTTAATGATGCTATTTACAATTATAAAAATCTCAGCTTTAAGACAGTCAATCTTTTTTTAAATACATAGACATTTAGATGTTACCTAGATTACATAATATCTAGCTAAAATTTGCAAACATTTCAAAGAAATTAATTTTTTACTGGACAACTATTTTATGAAAATGATAAATCTCATGGGAATAAATTTTATATCTACATTATTAATAACTTTTATGTGTTTACCTTATTCTAAATAATCTCATAATTACTCTCTGGTCTCATCTAATATTAAATTTCATGAAAATGTAGAAGTTTTTCAGTGATTCTGGATAATATTAATTGAAGATAATGTTAATTCTTGTGCTGATATTTACAATACTATCTCATTATCATAGATGCACGAGAAGGCAGAGGAGGCGATAGCAGAGCAATCAATGGCAGACATGCTTTATCTAACCGAAAACGAAGGCAAACTAAGGCTGGATACATTTGCATTGTGACATTAGTGTATCTTTTTATTTTTGTCATTTTTTTGTATTATATTATAGATCTAGTATGCTTGATGTATATGTAGGACTTGGTGCAACAATACGTGATTTAGACAGAAAAAATAAATCTTTAATTTTTTTTAGTTGTGCTTATGCACACACACACATACACACACATATACACAATTCCCACATACTTATTAAACATTTTCAATTTTTAGTATATGAAATAAGCTTGGAGAAAAAGATAAAGAAAAGACTAAATATCATCAATGATATGTAATTCCTTCCATGAATATGAAATTTATGCCACATAATTTATCATATTGTTGATCCTACAATTAAAGGAGTGATTGTAGCAATATTATCTTTAAAAAGATATAAATAATATTTTTTGAGAAAATGAAGTTAAAAATATGGAGTTTCATGTACCGAACTGTTTTTAAAACTTTTTATTCTATATTTTAATTTTATAAATTAAAAAAACATTTTTAATTTTAGTTCAGTATTTGATTTTATTTAATATATAGGAGATATTTTATATACAGAACGTGTGTGTTTGTGAGATCTCATATAATTAAAAAAAAAAATTTTATTTATGTAAATATTATTTATGTAAAAATTGCAGTAAAATGTGTTTATTACTTATATTACATATACTGCATAATTTATTTTATAGCTTAAATTATTATCCTTAATTAATCGTTAAATTATTAAATAACGTTATTTTCCAAAACCACCTCTGCAAGCAGGACTCGCAGTCACTGTTTTATTGCTTGCTTCCCATTGTTCTGGTGTTTTTGCCTTAAACACATTAATATAAAAATTTTATCTGATCTAGTTGTTGAACATGAAAAAATGGAGCATAATTTATTTTTCAGGCTATTAAGAGAATTAATTAATAATTAATTGCTATCACTTACAACTATTGATAAAGCATGTACGCCTCCTTGCAGTTCCACTTGCAATAATTCATTTATTACTCGGTGTCTCTAAATTAATAATTCAAGTTTCAGACCTTTTCTATTATTTGGAGTAATATATATTCCTTAATCTTGCAATTAATTAAACTTATAGATGAAAACTAACGTGTTTTCTATTATTACTTTATTTGCTTGACAAATGTTATTATTTTCTTTTCATTCATTTTCATATAAATTCTATGTTATATTTTATATGCTTGATCAAAATAAAAAAAATAAAAAAACCAAACCAATTTTCCAAATTTGATGGATTTAAAATTAAATGTAACAAAATGTTTATAATAAACACAAGAATCTCTAATAATTACCTCGATCAATGGCTGCTTGTTAAATTTTTCTGATACTATTACTACCTTGAAATGCGTCTCGGAATCCTTGGGAACATTATGCATGTAAGATTCATTAATAACATTGCAATACAGGGGTCTCAAGGTAGTTTCCAGTTTTTTCTTAATTGAGTTTTCTATTGGTTTATTCAGTATTGCTTTGTTCATATTTTCCCGATGAAATGTGCTATAATCTATATTGGTGCTTTCTATTTAATTCACATTCATATTTGTATGGGTATAATATGCATTACATAAAACTTTTTTTTTTTATATTGTACAGATTCTCTAAGAAAACACATGCAAATGTATTATGAATTGTATATAGTTATGTACTATAGCAATCATTGTCAAGACACTTATATGTTAGTGTACATACAAGAATGAAAATGATTTAAAACATAAAATACGAATTAAGCCTATCGCTTAGCATTGTGTGATAGGCTTTATAGTATATAATTTACTTAATAAGACTTATATAAGTAAACTTAGCATTAAAAACAATTTCTCTTGATAAATATATTTCTTTGAGTCTTCCATATAAAATGTATATGCTTTTTATATAATCACTTTATATACTTCTAATTAATCATTCTATTGTATGCATAAAAATTAATAAATTTGTAATTAAGATATTTATAACAATGACGAAATAATAATAAACAAAGATGCAACCATTATTGTATAAAACTTTAGACTTTAATTAGTTTGGTCTATATATTATGATTATTTAACTTTATTTACAAAAGTTATGAAAAACGCTTTTAAATGAACTAATACTTACATTTTCTAAATATCAATTTTCTTAAAAACTTTGTTTTATACATTTATTCATAATTATTTTTACTATTTGCAATATGATACTCCTTCTCTATCTCTTTCTCAGAACATTCGCTGATTCTTGATATCTTGATTGATATTATTATAGTATCATAGTCAAAAAAATTGACTTCATCTGATGAGAAATGTTTTTAGTTCAGGTTCAGATGATTGATGTGGAAAAAGAGATAGAAATCCATCCAAGAATATATATGTCTCTTTCTAATAATTCTGACCCCGATTTTTAATGTTCCGTCTATGTATTTTATATGTCTATGATCCAAACAGATTCATAACATTTTCTCTCCAGTCTCCAGTTCGTAATTGTTCGCAATACTGGTTTAATATACCCAATTTTGTAAAATATTTGTAGGAATGAGTAATATCGTAATATCATCTTGATCGCACGTAACTGTCATGTGAATTGAATGAGAGAGAAAGAAAGAGAGAGCTTTTATTCTTTCCATAAAATTCGGGTGACAAAAACGTATTATTATAAATACAATATAGTTTATTTGTGACGATTTACACTGGGTGTGACTTGTCACTTGATTTAACTTGTCAACAAAGAGGAACGCATTTAGGGCTGATATTATTTTTGAGGTTAGGTCTTTAATACTTCACAACGGGGGCCGAACAGTCAGCTATGTCCGTTTCTCAAATGGAAAGTATCCTTTAAATATTTTATTTATACTATAAGGTATTTAATAAATATTTTTTATTTATACTAAAATTCTCGGTTTCTTTTATAAAGCGATTGAAGCAAAACTTGTCAGTACATCTTCAGAGGATATTCACATATCATGACACATCATGACACACCATAGGAATTGTCAGAAATCTAAATTTTATTTTTCTCGAATATATTTTTGTAAAAATTTATAAAAATCGAAAAATATAATTTTTCTCCTAATTATTAAACAAAAGGCTGCAAATTCTCATGATACAAGTACTATTTTCCTTGATAATAAAACGTAGAAAATTTATTCAATTTGAAGTTTGCTGTAAAGGAATTAGAGAGAAACTCGAAAAAATGCGAGAAAGAGGAGAAAATAGAGAAAACAAAAGTCAAGAAAGCAATACAGAAAGGTAATATGGAAGGTGCTCGTATCCATGCGGAGAATGCAATTCGACAGAAAAACCAGGCCTTAAATTATCTCAGGATGAGTGCTAGAGTAGATGCAGTGGCTAGTAGAGTACAGACTGCACTGACGACTCGCAAAGTCACTCAGTCTATGGCTGGTGTTGTTAAGGCCATGGATGCGGCAATGAAATCAATGAACTTGGAAAAAATCTCTGGTCTCATGGATAAGTTTGAGAGTCAATTTGAGGATCTGGATGTACAAAGTTCATATATGGAAAATGCTATGTCGCAAACTACAACTACCAATGTACCTCAAAATGATGTGGATACTTTAATGCAACAAGTTGCAGATGAAGCTGGGTAAGAATATTTATGTATTTTTATTTGTCCATTCAAATTTATTTTATGATTAAAAAGAAGAATTTTTTAATTCTACTCTTTTTAATGTACATGTTACAAGAAAATACTACTGTTGGTCTTAAATAAAAAATTTCTAAATTGCTCAGAAAACTTTAATCGACTTTATTTATAGCCTGGAACTGAACATGGAATTGCCCTCTGGTCAACTGGGCAGTATTGGTACTTCGACAGCGGTGAGCCAAGAACAAGATGAGCTAACACAGAGACTGGCGCGACTCAGAGAGTAATAGCAAAATATTTTACTGTATATATATATGATTAATATATATAATGAAAATGTTTTATAAGTTATATAATATGTTCCCAATATATACATTACAATAATGTGCATTATGATGTTACATATGTGGTAACATGTATATTTTTTACATTACAATATTGGGATAATAAGTCTAAACAAATAAGAAAGTTAAAAGGGAGAGTTCTAAACAACTTATAATATCTTTGTAGTTTACATGTGGCAAGCAATATCAAGCTTTAATATGATACAATGAGATTGTTACAAAGATTACATTGGCTTTTATCTTAAAAGATTTGTGGAGTATTATATTCTTAAATAATTGATCTCTTGCTCTAATTATATTTTTTAAATTTTCCGATTCTTGAAATTTCACTATTATTTTTATAAAAATTAACCTATTCAAAATTAATAAAGTGAATGATTAATTAACTGATTATCTGTCTTTTTTGAAACAAGATTAGAAAGAATTTGTTATATCTTGATTAAAATTTTGCAATAATTTTATTAAATCTTTTGTTACAACATAGTTTAATTATGAAATGTAATTTCATAGAACGTGCTTTTGCTATAAAGATCGATGTGTTGTATATTAATATAAATTCAAGATACAAATATATTTACTAGCCTGAAAATATCATTCCAAAATAATGATTTAGATAATCTTTTGAATCAAAAAATTAAATAGTTAATGCAATCAGACTAACAAAAACTGCAAAATATAATTAAGTATAAAATAATTTACTATTTTATGTTTTATCTTTTGCAATACTAAAAGTGTTATTATTAAGTAAGTATCTTATTGTTTAAATAAGTGTGTACATGCAAATATCTATAATTTCTATCATTAACACAGAGAGCAGAATATAATTTTATTTTTCCTTTTTTTATCAAAATATCGTGATTTTTTTAAGAGAAAAATGATAATAATTTGTAATACAGCTAAAAAATCAGTACATGTAGAAATGTACGCTTGTAAAAATAAATAACTTATAAAAATGCAATGAACATATAAGGCAAACAATAGAAGTTTTTGTTTTTAGTTCACCAAAACATTGAAGTTGTTAATAAAAAAATATTACTAAATATGAGAGTAATATTAAAAACTTCCAATAGTAAAAGGCCATTGTAGTTATATAAAATCAGTACTGCCAAAATATATTAAAATATAAATAACTTGTTACGTTTTTCTTTTCCATTAAACATTTAAAAAAGATACAAATAGTAGCCTTATACAATAAAATTTGTTATTGAATAGAATTATTATGTAATAAAATAAATTCTCTTCTTCAAGATCTATATTTTCAAGATTTTTTTAATAATTTTTATATTGTATGTTTTAAGAATACATAAAATATGAATGATATAAAACAAAAAAAGCTAAAATATAAGCCCCTCAACAAAATATATTGCTAAATTACCTAAGTGCCTCAACAAACAGCTCTATTATAGCATTTTATAATTCGAACGAAATCCCGCCAAAACTGAGCTACCCATTGCACACATAGGACTGTGTTCGAAAACATCACCCGTGTGCAAACGAGCGTCGTTCTATCTTTATTATTTACTAAAAGTTGAACAAAGATAGAACGATGCTCGTGTGTACACCGGTGATGTTTCCGAACGTACCATACGTGACATTACTGTCGTGTAAACGTCATTATTACGTCATCTACATCACGTATGCGCGAAAAAAGGAGCCCGTCCAACAACTGTTTACAACACTGTGATCGGTACTAATAAGTAATATTTAAATTTTTGATCGAGGAAAAAAGAGAAAATGCGAAAATGAACGAGAACTTGCTGAAACGGATAAAAAACCAGCTGAATGCAAAGTTTTATATGATGAACGATGCGTGGCTCCGAGATTGCATCAAATACTTTGTCAAGGACAAAACTCTTCGTGAAGTATGTTTTTTTTTTTTTTTTATAATATTAAATATTTTTAACTCATAAAGTTGGATGTATACAAAGCCTTGTATTGTAAGAAAAATTGAGGAGTTTTTTAAAAATTTAATAATGGACAAAATTTTTTAGTGTATTAGACTACTTAGAACTCTAAATAATAACATTAACAATTATCATTATAGATGACAGACAGGCACATTCTGGAATTTGTTGAAGGCCAATGGCAACTAAGTGATTTGCGGGAAGTCAACAATGAAAATGGTTGTTTGCCGAGGAACTTGATACAACAGGTGCATACTGTATTGACTGGTACCTACATACTTCAGGTGAGTTTGAGGAACATTTTGTTTGGTGTATATATCTGGATCCAAATTTATACATAAAGATCATTCAATCTAATTATAGGTGAACAAGATGTATGATATAGCGAATTCTAAATATAAGCAACTTTGTGAAATTCGTAAAATCAATAGTGAGAACTTGATAGTAGCAGAAGAAGAGAGACAAGCTGAATGGGAACCGAAAGCTAGAAGAATGATACAATTGTGTCTCACTGATGGAGTGCAGGATATTACTGCAATAGAGTACAAACCGCTTAAACAAATGACTGTAAGAATTTTCATTACTACATTACGTTTTTTACAGCAAAAATTTTGAACAAATAACTTTTCATCTAAATTACCGAATTAAGAAGTAATAATAATTGTATACAAATGTTTTTGCAGAATATGTTGCTTCCTGGATACAAAGTGATGATAACTGGTCCAGTCAGTTGTAGACGCGGAGTTATTCTCTTGGAAGATGGAAAATACAAGGAAATTGGAGGGGAAGTGGAATCTCTATTGCAGTCCAATGCGTTGGAGAATGTCTTGGCTAGAGCTCTGTAAGTCTCTGTTGACTATTTTTGAATTTAAGCTCTTGTGTCCTCACTGCAGCCATATTAATTATAACCAAAAGTGAGAAATCATGAGTTTTTTTCTTGCAAAATACATTGAAACAAATAAGTTTTTTGAATGCGATCATTCGTGTTTGATAATATGGATTAGTGAAATACATTGAAAACTCTTTTGATTCATGAATTAATAAATAGATGTAAATTTTGGTCAATTGTTGTAAGATCCATTTTTGCTGAAAATATAGGACACATGCAGCTGATTAGTAATGTGTTAAGAGCAAACACTTGCATGCAATTTTTAAACGGATTATTTTAGTTGATCGATTGATTTACATCTATCAAACAGCCGATTATGAACAAAACAAACATTTATACACACATGAAATTAAACAGTGGATCAATTCCTTTATATTCAACTTGCAGCAAATCATTACTTAATCAACCAATTAAAAAATTATATGCGAGTACCAGCTCTCTAAATTATTTTTAATTTTCTAATTCCAGTTTCTTGATTTTATATCTATTGTATTTTTCAGTGGAGAACCAGAAAATCCTGACCCGTATAATGACAATGGGCTACTTAGAACTGTGAATCAGAATGTTCAAAATGACAATCTTAATAGCAATGACACTTTATTATTTGATGATGACTTTGAGGAGATAGTCGATTTGGAAGCAGTAACAGCGATTGAACGGCAAAATCAGGAAGCTGAAACTATTCAAAATTGTATCGGAAGTAATGAAAACCAAACCAGAGAAATTAATGAAATTACGGAAGACTTTTTAGAAGACATAGATTTTGATCCCTTAGAGAATTGGTTAGTATTAAAGTTAAAAAAATTTAGATATTAACTTTTTAATTGAAATTTTATTCAAATAATCGCCATCGTTTTAATCATATAAGAATATTTATTATTATTACTTTATTGCCTGTGTTAGTGTTCTCCAGTTTTATTATACCGAGCGGTTATTTTAGGCCCAATGATTCCCCCATGAGACCTGTACATCCTACATCGCGAGTGGAAATTGAAAAATTTGGTGAGAAGGATGATATAATGATAGTCGAAGAAACATCAATCTCAGCACACGATTCTCGCAACAAGCAGCCGCCTTCTACAAGTTCCTTTAGGAATGAATATGCTTCAGAATTTCTCGACAATGATTTCGATTTCGATGATTGCGAGATCATGGTTCGCACAGAAAAATCACGAAGGTTCTCTATCTTCATATCTTTTCTTTTATATCATTTCTAATTTATTTTCACATTTATTTATTTCAAATTATTTCAGTCAACAAGATGAAAACCTGTCAAAAAATGAAACCAAAGCATATTCCTCGCCATTAATGCCTAAATCGAAATTGACAAATCATAATACATTAAAGAAAGTTAAAACGAATATTTCTATTGCAGGCCTGACAAAACAAAACGAAAAATCTGTGGTATATATTTGCGAAAATATATGTATATATTATCTTTTACGTGCATACATGCGCGTGTATATGTATGCATTGTGTGTGTACAGGATATTAAAGGATTCTAGACTGTAAAATTGATAGTATTCATTAAGATAAATAAAAAGTATTTAGTAAATATAGGTTAAAATGAGAGTTAAAAGCGGTTTTAATAAAGCAAGTGATTTATCTGCTTGTATTTATCACTGATGTAAAAATGAGGGATTATCTTATATTTTCATTCTGACATTTATAAAAGATTCTATGTGTTTTCCATCTATTTCACACATACTTCAGATGTTTCTATCACAGAATTGCAAATTCTTTAAGAAATTACATATGTTTTGGATTTACTGATGTAAATCTTATATATCGTTAAAGAACAGCGTGTAATTTCCTCTTGTTAATGAGTACTATCTAATCTAAATAATATTCTTTTAACATTCTGTACACATAATCTTTTTATATTAAAACTGCCGTTTTCTTTTTTGCTTAATTCCATATTTTTGCCAAAGGCGAGCGTTCCCAGCACAGCCCAGCCAACTAAGAACACAGAAACAATCAATGTCCTAAGCGACATATTATCCGAGCCTATCATAGGAAGAGTACGAAAAATAGTGAGAGCTAAAGTCAAGAATCATTCGGCGTTAAAAAAACAGGGTAAATACTGGGCAGTAACTGCACTGATTGCGGATCACACTTCTAGTATAGAAGTCTGCTTCGATTCTGAAGTAAGCGATATAAAAAAAAAGATTCCTTCAAAGACTTCCAATTTCTTGCTACAACCATGTTGAATTATGATATAAAAATTGAAAAGACACGCACGAAAGTCTTTTGTTTCGCTGTTTAAAAAATTACATATTCAATATGTATTTACATTGTCAACGAAAATTAATATTATAACAATTAAGATTTTTAATTACTTATTAATCCACATATCTTGAAAAAAGAATCTTCGGTATATTTTATTAATATAAACTATCAAATGTAATAATACTTATATAAATAACATACAAAAAAATAAATTTGTCAATATATAGCATAAGGAAAATTTATATGATTTCTTCTGACATAATTTAATATGGTTACAGAGGAGAACTAGATATTAGAGAGTCGGTGATATCTTCATAAACGCGGATTATATCTTGTATCCTTTTTTTAGATCCTGGAGAAATATATCGGATTCTCTGTGCAGGAATTTTCGCAAAAGAAAAAGCTTGCTAAATTAGATTCTCAAGTGAATAACGAATTAAGACTGGTAAGTTGAATTTTTAGACGATATTGAGAATGGCATTTCTTTAAAGTCCACTTTTTACAGAATTTGCGCAAGGCGCAACGTCAAATTGAAAATCTGAATGCATTATTAGAACTGGAATTGGCTCAGGATAAAGTTCCCAAAATTGTTAATATTATGTAGTTACTTTGCAACAAATGGAAAACCTTATGAAAATGTCAGAATAATTAAGTGAAATGTATGAATTGCCAGAGAAGTTTGATAGGCAAACTTATAACATTGCAAACTTTAAAAAGATTCGCTATTTTGTGTAAGTACAGAATAGTACAAAAACTATATTTTTAAGTTACTGTAACAAAAGTATTGTATATATTTTAAGAATTTAAAGATATAGAATCTTTTTTTACAATTTATAATAAATGCCATTCTTAATAAACAAAACCAATTGGCAAAGCATATATGAACCCTTTCTCCTATTACAAATTCAAACATTTTCTAAACATAAATTTAACTTTCAACTTGAAAATGTATCGAAATTATGTTCTCTCTATTATTGCTTTATTTAACTTCAAGATTTGATAAAAATGTTCTAGCAGAAAACGATATATCAGCAAGAAAATCATTGATCTCAGACGTGTTTATGATACCCATTGCCAAACCACGTGAAGTGAAATTGTTAAATAGATAAATTTATCATAACAAAACACAAAGAGATTATATAGTTCAATTTCGAATTTCGTAAAATTCATTTTATTTAACATCCGGGAAAGTCTGTGTGTGTATGTAGTTGTAGATTACTATTTAAAAATATAATTTAAAAAAATACAGTAAAAGTTATAAAGCTTTATATACCTTATAAAAGAATGTAATATCATTCACATATAAAAAGAGAACAAATTTCAATTAACGAATTTCATGATCATAGCATTTATTAACTGGTACAGTTGATCATTGCGCAGTGATACATTTTCATTGTTTTCTTTCATTCGCTATTGCCTCACTCACTCTCACTTTTACTCAGTCATTCGCTCGCATATATTCTGTTTTCTTTTCTTTTTCTCTCACTCATTTATTCAACCTAATAACAAGTGCACAGTTTCAATTAATATTGTTTTTTTTTATTATTATTACAATAGTTTTACGCTTATTGCACGCTTTTTCGTGATAACAAAACTCATTCCACTTTCTTTGTCTCTCTCTCTCTTTTCCCCCTTCTCTCCCTCTTTCTCATTTTCTCTCTCTCCCCATTCTTTTTCCTCAGTCTCTCCAGATACAAAATTAATTGTTGAAACATGTCGCACTGATGATTCTGTCTCTAAGGAGGGTCTGCAAATAAATTGTTTAAATAACAATAATTTAAATATAAATATCAACGCAATATGTCACGTGAATTCCTACAATATTCGACATTGGGTTCATGCACTCTATTCTTGATTCTTTTCTTCTTCTGCTTTGATGAGCGCAGCGATATCGATCGCTTCTCATCAATGGCATTAGTCCACCTTTTCCTGGTCTAACTAGTTAGTTCATTGTAAAATAACATTCTCGCAATATCTTTTTCGTAAGAAAGACACAACGATTGTTTCGAGCCTTCGGATTCTCCGATACCGTCGATCCCTTCACGGGTTTCTAAAGACAGGTTCTCAGAATTTATGACCATAGATTCTTAGTATTATCTAGTTTTATCTCGTCAACAATTTTTAATTAATAATTAAATATAAGAAAATTTAAGCGGTAAATCAAAACTTTTTGAAACTTTTGAATCCTTGAATTAATAGAAACTACTAAACCAATGGTAGATCCTGAATATTTTGAATCTTGACAAAATCAAGATTATAAATTTCAATTATTACTTTATTTCCTTAAACAATTCAACTGGAGACTCGTATCGTTAATGTTCTAAAATCTTAGATTATGAAAAGTCAGATCTCTAAGTACATAGATCTTTTTAGCAGAACTTGTTGCATTTTTCATTTTTTCTCTTTGTTTTCAATTTCTAAATATCTATATATCTATTTAATTTTATTCCGTTTCAGTTCAGCTAAAAAGAACAAATTTCTTACGTGTGTGAAACACAAATTGAAATTCTAAAGTTCTTAAAATTCCGAATTTCTCTTGGAATTCCGGATCTAGTTATTCTTCGATTCTTTAGATTCGATCATTTACAAATTATAGTTTTTGCGCTTTCTGAATTCTAAAAAATTTCAATTGCGAAAATTCTAAATTTCCGTTACCTCGAATCTATGGTCTGATAGCGGACGTTTTTCTCGATAATTACGGATAATCTTGAGCTCTCTCTTTCTCTCTCTCTCTCGAAACTTTCGGATCTTTGGATCCTTCAAAACTCGTGTAATGCTTTCATCCCGATTTTCACGGAACAATGAGCTTTCAAAAAACTATCTTTTTAGGATGTTCGATGAGCGTCATCGTGTCCGAGTCTTTCTCGGCCAAGATGATTCTCTCCAGTTCAACAATACATGAAATACGCAAATCGATCACCAAGACGGCGACAGTGTCCTTGAGATCATTGGATTGCTTCTATCGATCGCAAATATCGCCGTAGGTGAATCGTGTGAGAATTCTCACAGTTGCTGCTTATGTTTAAATGTGTGTGTATGTGTGCTGCTGTTGCTGTATGTATGTGTGTGTATGTGTGTGTATACGCGTGTGACACGCGCGCGCGAATGTGTAATCAGTCCGCCCACACGTTTTATCAATATTAATAAATATCGATGTAATGTAATGTGTGTGTTATATGTGTTGCCTTCAATAGCAGTGAGAGAAAGCTATTGCACGTGAAAAAATTTTTGTCATAACCGTAAGGCCGTAAGCTAATCGACCAATCACAGTCAAGCATTTCAAACAAGAGTGTTTGACTGTTGGTCGGTTTGCTTACGATCTTATGATTATTAAGGCTGAAACTTTTCCACGTGCAATGGCCTAAAAGCGGAGCTCTACCAGAAGTTGCCTATATAATCTCGTTGCCTCGACAACACAGCGCTTCCGACAGTTAATGTAATGTATGAGTAGTATACATGTATGTCTACATGTATGTATGTATGTTACACAAATTGTGGTTTGCGATTTACCAAAAGGTATAACCGCCCTCCGTTCCTCCTCCCAGGAACGAACCCTTCTTTTGCGATAGGGCTACGCTATGACCAGCCATCGCGGCCAATTGTGCAGCGTTCGCGGCCACTCCAGGTGGTGGTGGCGGCAACACCGGCTGCGAGATGCCATCGAACCGGGTACCATCGAAACCGTTCTACGAAATGAATATTACTAATATTAACCGTGCTTGTGATATATGATGTTTCTTTTATTAACATATTAAAAGATTTAAAAATGCATTATTAAAAATGGCAGCTAGAAAGAAAAATATTCTGTATATATGGTGCTAAATAATTATAATATATACGCATTTTTGGAAAAAGCTAGCAGATAATAGAAGAATTGTAGAAAAAAACAATACTTTTATTACATATATATCGATACTTACAGGTACCATAATAGTGGGCCTTACAGGAGCGGGCTGCATAGCAGGATAATATGCTGTGGTCGCAGCCAATGGCGGATAATATTGCAATGGGTATCCCGGTGGATAATATTGCAAAGGATATCCCTGTCCATACATTGGTTGATACATCTAAAGATATTTATTGATAGATTGCATTCAAGTTCTGACTCCCTTTTTATGTCTTTTGTAGAAATAAAATACTAGATGATAACTCTCACCATAGGATGCGTAAGAGTCTGGTCATATGTCGGTGGCGGTGGACCTTGCGTCGCATATAATTGAGGTTGATTGGGAAATACTCCATAGGGTGCGGCGCCTGCAACTATCGGATATATGTTATCAGAATCATTCAATTTATAGCTAGTATAAAACATTATCATTAAACTCAATACAATCGATACTCAATATAATCTAAAAGTAGTTTTGACGATCCAATGCGATCCGAAAGAAATAATGACATGGAATATCTTTGTCTTTCTCGATATAGATCAATAAGAAAGTTTATATCATATCTGTCCTAGAGAGATATGAAATACATAGAAAAAAATACATATTTTGTCTGCTTAATCATATTAATATGAGAAACTATGACAAAATTTTTGACAATGATTGTACAAAGTTTTCAATGTGTATGTACTTAAAAAATAGAGATATTGAACTTAATACTTTTCTCTTAAATAGAATCAAACATAGACTCCCATAAAGATTCGTTTGTAATTTCATTAATTAATCCAAAAACTCTTAAAAATTACAGTACTTTTGGTATGAGAAGTAATGTTTGGATATAAGAGAGAGAAAGAGAAAACTGGAGCTAAAAAAAGCTAAATTATATTTAAAAGTTCATAAACAGCTCCTAAAATTCTGCAAAAATTAAACGAAATCTGACATTCTTTTTAAGAAATAGGTAAACGTCTATTCAACTCCAGCTTTAGAAAAAAAAACTAATGACATAAAATTTTTGCTCCAATAATAAGTAACAAATTCAAAATTCGAAAATTTATGAATAACTTCTAATTCTATTATATGTTTTTTGTTTCTAGTATGCCACAGTGGCTCTGCTAGCTTGACAAGAATAAAATAACAGAAATCACACAGTTCTTACCACCGTAGGTTGGGGGTTGCGTTGGCGCGGGGACAAAGCCGGTCGGTGGGTGAGGGGCCACCGGATACGCTGCAACACAAGGCAATGCGAAATGCAATTTCACTGAATTCGCAGGTCGTGAACGACATGTGTGTGTGTGTTCAATCTAAGCCAACATGGTACGTGGTACCACACTGCCAGAAAGGACGAGTGCCGGCGCACCGTCCACGTCCACGACGCGGTATCAAGGAACACAATCTGCGCTTCACATCTTGACAGACTGTGTAACTCTTATCCGCGTCGAGCACGCGTAGAGCGCGTCGTCGAGATCGGGACGCGGTTGGATATTCTTCTCCGATATGGTTCTGGGATGATATTAGCAGCTTTTTTGGTATTAATTTTTCAAGAATAAAAGAATTGGCGATTCACAAAATGATTCAAAGCAGTCGCGAAACGAATCTTTAATTTAATTTTATTATTACGCGATATGCAACTCTTAGCGAATCTCAAACTTTCAATAGAGAATTTAAAAATAAGTTCAACAATGTAAAATTATATTATTAATGTAAGACATATATTGTGTATATCTCAAGATGAAGCATTTAATTAAGCAATCTTATTTGTAAATAACAAGAGAAATAATAAATAATAGAAATTATCTTGAAGAGAAAACTGCTTCAGAATCGTTTCAAATTCAAGATACTAGCTTCGAAATAATATCATTTTGAAATCCCTTTCAGTTTAAACTAAATCGTTTCAGAATAACTGCTTCGAAATCGTTCTCAATTCGAAATATTCGTTAGGATAATTAATAATAAATGGCGTTATAAGATGATTTTCGTTTCTCTAGAATTGTACTTTTGAAAATAATCCAAAAAACGCATTTTTGCCATAACAGAGAGAGATTGTCCAATGCGCTACCGACCTCCAGAATAGTACTCCCACACCCAAGTATATCTTACACATGACATACACCGTTTTGATCAAGGTACTATTTAAAGCTCAAACAATGTTAGTCACTAAATAATGGTGAAAAGAAATAACCGAAGATATCACGCCCGCCTGTCGCTCCCGGGGCCTCTCTTTGAGCTTTATTCCGCCCAGCATGAATTGCCGGGGCGCAGGCGGACCTTTTTTTTTTTTTAATAAAAACATTTACAAGGTGATCAACTCCACATTTTGAAAGACTTTAGTCAACTAGGTCTTGATTTTTCATCACTTATCTTTCTCAAAATTGATGAAACTAATATTATATTTCCCTGGAAAATATATCTCCTTTTTAAAATACAAATAAAATAAGATTTAACATTTTTATGTTTAATCTAATTTATATATATATATATACATACACATATATATATATATATATATACACACCCATACACACAGGAAAAGGAGCGCAGCTTCCGAGAGACTCGCTCACGCCACGTGCAAAGCAAGGGTTTTTATCAATTGAGATGTTTTTTTCTCGAGAAATTGATCACCTTAGACCATACCCTCTCGAGGATCCATCGAGATTACTAATAGATCATCCACATGAATGGATCCACGCTTAAGGAGTTAAAACGAATCACGCTCGAGAATAATTTGATATATTAATAGATTTTATCGGAAAAAATGATAAATTACCAAAATTTTTTATCAAATATTTGTTTCTCTCTATTTAAAAGGTTTATTAAAATTCTATTATTTAAAGTTCAATTTCTGCATTTGCCGAGGGTTATTCTCGAACAATGATTCGTCACCGAGCAACCTTTACTTCTAGAACTAAGATTTGATACGAAACCGATCTCAAAGCAAATAGCGTTACGCAATCAAAGTAGAAGCCAAATACATTCGTCTAACAGGTCGAGCCTGAGGGATCCACTTAAATTAATATATCAGTATTTATTCGAATGTATGAAATTTTCAAGATTGTTAATATCTTGTATTACGATTGTTTACTTTATTTCCTCAATCACTGTAATTAACCCGTTACATTCCAATGTACTCTTTAACTATACTTTTGCTTTATATTATTTATAAATTTGCAGCAATATATGAAGAATAGAATGACTTTTGGATATAACGGATTAAGCATTAATCTAAATACAAATCAGCAAATCCCGAAGCTCGGCCGCGTTTAAAAAACAAAAAACGACAAAACAGAGCTAAAATAAAGCTAGGAGGTAAAAAGGATAACGGTTGCTCCAAAAAGTGATGTTAAAACAAGCCCAAATAATCAAAGGACTCGCGATGTGAGAACGGCAGTCCATCTCAACATCATCATCATTATCAACATCATCGTCATCATAATAATCATCATGTTCATTATAATCATAATCATTATTAACATCCTCATCATCATCATTATTATACCATCATTATTATCATTATCCTCATCATCATCGTCATCCTCGTCATCGCTGGCGATGACGAGATGCGATTTCACAAGTCAAATCGAGAAGAAGAGGCTCTACATCTCTCTCTTTCTCTTTTTCGGGGCAGTGAATGTGTAATTTATACAATGAGTATAGTGGTACGATAGTTATGTATATATATATACATATATATATATATAAAATATATGTATATATATATAAAAATATATTTATACATATATGCATATATAGCATATAAGACTATATACACATATCAGACTCCACACATTCAAAAAGTCGTGACAAGACTCAGCAAACCACAAATTTCTGCAAATATCCAGAGATAAAGGTTAAACATGATTAAAAGTTCCTCGGAATCGTGTGTAGTAGTAAGTAGTTAACGTCAGCGACCGGCCGCATCGCGACGCCGCGCCGCGAGACGCTCGGCCGCCTATTTTTTTCTCTAGTCCTTTTAATTATCTAAATCGCACCATGCGCTACGTGTCGCCGCCATCAAGAGGCTAATGATCCTTCCAAATATTTCTTTATTCTTTTCAAATGTATCTTTGCAAACGATATATTAAGAGCCGACAACTTGAAAAGAATAGATGTATAAAATATATACGCGAATGTAAATCATAGAATAAGTAAAAATTTATTTATTTATTTTTTTTTTTGAGGAAAATTGAAAAAAGATGAGACAGTAAAATTTCACTTCTCTTGTAATCATATTAGATATTCAAGATGTTCTTAAAAATATTCATTTAAATTATCGAAGAACGTATTTGGTCATACAAATCATTTTAAATAATATTTGAGAAATGCAAATTCTAATCGTTATCGAAAGTATTTTTAAAACAGCAAATTTCTAGAAAGAGGATTGTCCTCTAGGCGTCGTGTGCGCGATTGCGCTGGTGTTGAGGGAGATGGATATATTCTCTAACATAAATGTCAGCCCACACCAAATTGTTCATGATATGACCAAAGGTTGCTCGAATCAGCGGAGACAAACGATCCAGTGTAGCTTTCAACACGACCGTTTCTGCGAGAGTTTGTAATCGATACTGAAAATACTTTACTTTCGTATCCAGATATGCAAATAAGTATTTGCTATAAAAAGAATTTTCTACGATCTAAGAATACGAGGAATCGGAAAAGTTAATTAAAAGACAAAAGATTTTTTAAGAGAAACAGTAATTCACTGATTCAGAAAAAACAAGGATAATGAAAACTTTATGAATGTGACAATTCCTAGTAATTCTTAGAACTTATTTCCAAAGAATTAAATACTAACGACCAAAATTGAAAAATGTGAGAATTATTGCATTGATCGTCGGTTTTATTATTTTGAAATGTACACTGGGTGATAATTTGTTTTAATCTTCCATATTGCACGTTCACAAACCGTTGGTCTATCCGCACTTTCGCGCAACCTCTGGGAAGTAATAAGTTAAATGTCTATGTGTCACGGTGCAAACAATAATCGAATCAGTCACAACCGATTGTAATATTAATGCTAGTACGGCTTAATGGTAAAAGTGTCTATCGCTTTTTTTTCCTCTCTCTCCATGTACACTCTTTTTCTCTTTCACTTCCTTGATTTGTCCCAATGAGCAGTTCGACGCTATGTTGTATCTTTTTCATTTTTTGCTACCTCTCTACTTTCAACAATCCACGTTAAATGGTCAACAAACAATATCAAGAATTTGTCTATTTCTTTTCTGTCGGACGGTCATTCATCGAAATGCTTCCGTGGACAAGATGTGTTCTCGAGACAAACTGGATCATCGGAAAATTGTTAAGAAACTATGTATTTGTAAATTCTGCAATATCGATCCGTGAAATTGAAGTAAAGACATCCTGCAATACATAATAAAAAAAGAATTAAAAAGAATATATCGCTTCTCTCTTAAAAAATCTTCATTAAAAATGTCGAAAGAGAATATATTTTTAAAACTATAGAGATGCAAAAAAAAAAAAAAAAAAAAAAAAAAAAAAAAAAAAAGAAAGAAAACCCGGTTATTTAAATTTTTGTAATATTAATGCTAGTACGGCTTAATGGTAAAAGTGTCTATCGCTTTTTTTTCCTCTCTCTCCATGTACACTCTTTTTCTCTTTCACTTCCTTGATTTGTCCCAATGAGCAGTTCGACGCTATGTTGTATCTTTTTCATTTTTTGCTACCTCTCTACTTTCAACAATCCACGTTAAATGGTCAACAAACAATATCAAGAATTTGTCTATTTCTTTTCTGTCGGACGGTCATTCATCGAAATGCTTCCGTGGACAAGATGTGTTCTCGAGACAAACTGGATCATCGGAAAATTGTTAAGAAACTATGTATTTGTAAATTCTGCAATATCGATCCGTGAAATTGAAGTAAAGACATCCTGCAATACATAATAAAAAAAGAATTAAAAAGAATATATCGCTTCTCTCTTAAAAAATCTTCATTAAAAATGTCGAAAGAGAATATATTTTTAAAACTATAGAGATGCAAAAAAAAAAAAAAAAAAAAAACAAAAAAAGAGAAGTAAACCTGTGTACTTAAGATTTTTAATTATTCGCTCCCGATGATCTCTAGATCGTTATGAGGACACTCTTATTCAGTACCGACTAGCGTATTTACTAGCTACTTTGCTTAAACTCACTATTAACAAGTGTACAAATCCTATCAATCATGCACATGCAGTCATCGCGACGCTGGAAGACCTCGCCCCGATTGCCAGTT